TATGCACGGGGTGGGGGTCTCTTCTTCTTTTTCTTTTCTTTTTTTTTCTTTGAGTGTGTAGATATTCCCTTAGTCCCCAGTTTACAGTATAGAAGCTCAACCACAGTTGTGTCCAGTGCCCTCTGTCCAAAGTCTCTGTGATTTAACCTCTTTTGTGAGTAAAGCTTATCTTTTGCTGGGGTGGGTGATGGGCAATTGCTCAGCAGCTGGAGTAGGTGAGGGAATGAGGGAAAATTTCCTCATGTACACAGATTTTCGACCAGTTCTCTTTCCTGTCTCTGTCCCCATCATCTTCCTCACTTCAAGAACTATTGTTATCTCCAATTCCTGATCCTTTTTGGGCTTCTGAGGCACAAGTTAACCTGTTTCTGGGCCTCCTGGATGCTGCTGGTTTAAATTTCAGCTTTCTCTGTCTTTTAAAGTAAGTTTCTACTTATCAATCTTCTTTTTGGCTTCCAAAATTTTATCCTATTCTTTGATTTTTCACTTTTTTTTTTATCATTTATAGTTTATGCTGTTTTTATTCCACTATAGTCATTTTAGTGAGATTTAGGAGGGAACAAAAGGTAAATATATGTGTTTAACCTGCCATGCTGTTTAAAAAACAGTTTTTTAAAAAATTTAAAATATTTGCAGGCAGTTTAATAAACAATTACAAAGTGAACAATCATTAGTCAATACTCAAATCAAGAAATAAAACATTGCTAGCACCCTGAAAGCCCTCAGGTATCCCTTCCTGATGGCAACTAGATTTCCAAATTTCACTTTTAGAAATTTGGGGGAACTTCTTGATGCCAACAAGCACTGTAAAGTAGGATCAGTATAACAGATTTAGCATTTCCTTTAGGCAGTTAACAGTGCTCTGTTTTTTGAGGTTGCAAATATGAACAAGCACAATCCCTTTTCCCAAGGAGCTTATCTCCCTTTCACAAGAATATCTAGCCAGCTCACCACCCTCCTACATGGGAAACTAGCCTCCCTTCCCAAACCTCAGAATGAATCTGTGCAGCCCCAGTGGGAACCCTGCTCTTCTGGCCACAGCCAATTGGATAGAGGTCTAGGGTCACGTGACCCAAGTTGCACCAACTGAATTTCCTCTCTGAGGTATTTAGAATTAGAATTGAAAGATGCTAATTGGTTTCTTCTGCTCACTGAAT